TAGATATAACAATACCATATCTCAATACGAATAATATAATAATATCTGCGGTAGTATAGAGGAAAAAACGCATCGTTGAAACGATTAGAGGTGATTTATCGACGACTTTAAACTGCAGCAGGCACGCGCGGGTGGCGCTTTTACGTTGGATTTTAAATTCAAACCGGAAAAGAATAATATACGAACCGTCGACAACGGCGGAACACAATACTAAGCAATACGTAAACAATACCGTAACACAATACGCGTGAGTTTAGTTGGTACGTTATGTCTTTCACGGGCGTTTAAACACACGTCAGGGGGGGGGGGGGAGGGGGAGTACAGTGTGCACAATAATGCACAAAAACAGTGTACGATGGACTCGACGGTAACTATACTATACTCGCGTATTACCATATTTTGTTGTATTATTATTTTGATACGGTTATCGTATTTTAATGTGTATTTTATTTCTGAGTGTATCGGGGAGGGGAGAGGGGTACTCATTGGTGAAAAATCGCCTCGGCCGCAATGCTAACAAATTCGCGCGCAGTTGGATTAATTATGCAACCCCACACCACCGCGAGTTAAAACAAATAATTTAAATTGTACGCGGAAAATTAAAAATTAATCATTTTTTTTTTTAATCTCGACGAGCCAGAACATGATTTATTAGATTCCATTGCCGGCAAACGCCGTCTATAATATATCATAACGAAGCATTATATTCACGGTCACGTTATTATTTATATTCGTTAAATTGATAAAATACAACGGGCCGAGACCCGCGGCTAATGAGAATATTTGTTTAAACAATTCTCGTACATCGCGCTACAATAATAATTCATCACGAGGCCCTTATAATAGTATACGTATACATAAATATAAAATATACTGTGTGACTCGGCGGGATTAACACCCAGCCACGAGCCGAAACGTCTTTATTAGAAGGGGGCCAAAGCGAGTCCGTATAATTCAATCACGTCATTCGTCGACGTTTTTCTTTCACAATCGTAACGTCCCTCGTCGTCGTAATTGAACGCGACTCGATATTGACGACGACGGTTCTACCATTTTTCTTTTGTTTTCCATTTGAAGTTAATAATCAAAGCTATTGTGTATTTGTGTAACATTATATTATGTATAACAACATGTAAAATGACAATAAATATTTACACTGACAAGGACGCCTCGGGGTTGACAAATATACAGAGCAATCCATTTGGCCTACTTTGCACTTGTACACTGTCAGGTTTTGAATTTGAGTTTGAATGATTATAATTGAGTATAAAATATTATATGATTACATTTTTACCAATAAAAATTATTTGACGCTTTTAAATATCAGACTATCAGAGCCTCTTATAGTCATTTATTTTTATATTCTATAGCTAAATACTTTTTTAATATTTGTAACTATATAGTTTTTTTCAGTATTTATACGAAACCGTTTTAAATTAATGAACATGAGTAAAATTAAGTGACATATTTGTGTAGGTGACACTTTGTTATTTAATCTATAAAATTAAAATGCTAATAAATTTAATATATTTTTTAGCATCTAATATTGATTATTTATATTAATATTCCCATAAATATTGTGTTCAAGAATATTAAATTAAACGAGTTATGATAAAAAAAAATGTATCAACCATAGCTTTGATAAAATAAATAGTAAACATTTTAAGACATAAATTCTTTAATCTATTATATTATACATATTGTATTATTATGCAATTTTAACGTCATTGTCGTAACGCGTTATATATATTTTGCTATTGTATAATATTAATTTATACATATTATAAAAGGGCATAAAAACGAATAACTTAAGCCTATGAGTGGAATGACATATAATAATATGTGTTGTGGGTTTCAAGACATGTAAGTTTTGTTATTTTCAATTTATTACTAAGCATAACTTATGTATGTGCTACATTGGCGTAGAAGTTTCCTGAAAGTTTTATGCAACGATATTTTAGTCTCAAAATGGCATCTAGTTGATAACATAGAAAGCTAATTTTTCAAGTATCAAAATAATTTTATTTTTTATAACAAATTCTAAACAATGTTTATTTGTAATAAAATAATATACGGGAAATAGGTTCCTATATGGTTTAAAAAAATAGCTAATTATTAGTTTAAAAAAATAAAACCAAATATCCTATTGTAAGAAAATATGTAATTTCCTGGTCTTGCACACATTTTCACATATTATTATGTTATAACTTAAGTCCGGATTTGTGTGCATTTTAGTTTTTTTCTTAAATTACCTATGTAGTTTGATGTTTGTAAGAAATGTAGATGATTTTGTTTTGTAGAGAATGCATGGACAAAAGTTCAAAGTGTATTTAAAATATAAATGCATAATTTAGGGATAACGATTGGTTTGAAGAAAGATTTTTGAAAACGTATGTGAATTCCGTAAAAATGTAATTTTTCTTTGTATGCTTTCAATTTTTATGTAGAGTAGGCTTTATATGCTTACATTCATTAAAAATACAAGTTAAAGACCAGTTTATATCTGAAATAAAAAAATATATAAATTTACCTCTTTACGTTTTAAACAAAATATAATTGTCTACTCTGTAATTAATTTTCAATGGATCAGTGTGCAACATTTTAAAACGTAGTAGTTATGCTGAAAAAGATTCTTTTTGAAAAACCCTTAAAGCAAATTATTGATATTTGATTGATTTGTCAAGGTTTATTGATGCTCAGTTTAAGCATAAATGCAATACTAAATTTAATTTATGGATAATGCATGTTTAAATCATATTATGGTTTTAAGATTTATTATACTGTAACGTATTTATTTAAGATTTACTTTACTGCATTTCTCGTTGACTCACTGTGTTTTATCTCGTATACAACCACTCACATTAAAGAATTAATATAAACCGAAATAGGTGACACTAAGCGTCAGCAGTGAGCCGGTGACGTAAAACGAAAATTAATTTTAAAATTATTTCCGGGTAATCAGAATAAAAAAAAAAACTAACTTATGGTTATAAAATAAATTACTTAATTACGTCCTACGCGGTTAAAATATGACTTATTTTGAATACCTGTAATCATTTTAGAAATAATATTGTGTAGTCAGAAAAAATGTGTTGACGGAGACAAACTACTGACGACGAGATTTCCATCGGGTTCCAGCTGATATTATTAAATATTATTATTGTTATCATAATAATTCACTTGCATCCTGTATAACAGTCACAATGCTTTGTCAAATACAATTGATGTACTCACACATATATTATAATACCATTATCACAGACCATAATATATCATAATATAATATTGTGCACAATTCTCTATCGTAACTAAACGTGCAAAACTCGTCAAACCGTTCGCACCTTTCCGCGGACGACCCTACATAATATTATTATTATGTGTTGCATTGTGAATCGTTACAATGGCCAATGGGATAACGCTCGAATCATTTCGCTCCTGCGGTACGTCATTATCGAGATAACAAAAAAAAATTGACGTTTCGTTCTATTTTCAATACAATTTCACCGTTAGTATATTATTATATTGATATACGTGCATTATGATATTATTTATATTATGGCATATTATCACTACACTATTACTAGATATATGCCTTACCCATATGATTTCGAGCGCAGCTAAGTGGACGAATATTATGTAAATTTCTCACCGTTATCATTGTCTGCCAACGCTGTGTCCGCTGTTGACGTTTTTAAATATAATATTATAGGCCTTCAAAACACTGTCACCGTGGCCGGAAGTCCGTACCAGTGACACGCCGAATATTATACTGGATATAAATTAATCCCGTCAGTCAACGAGTTTGAAAGTGATAAATGGTTTATCCATTTATTTCATTTGTCATTAGGTGTATGTATTTCCATTATAGTATCCGAGTTGGTATCAAATCTGCGTAAAAAACGGGCAATCATATTGTGGGCGGCATAGGGTGGCAAATTTGGCAGTGTTGTGCATTATTTAGATAAAAATATTTATCTTTTTATGTCTTATCTGTCCATTTAAATAAAATGATTATCAGTTATGACCTGATAATTTATTTGTCTAGATAATTTTGTGAGACAAGTTTTTAAATTTTTTTATATTCAATTATTCTGATCGGGATTGTTAATCAAATAATATATTCTCCTAAGCTATTTATTCGATTCTGTTTTCAAATTATTATGGTTATTTTATGTATATTTATCACGTGTATAAATACGTAGCGATTTCGTATAGTGCCTACCTATAATACTGTTAATTCTCTGTATAAACTCTAAAGAGTAATCGTATTTAATACTAACGTATTAACTATTGTACGCATAACTAATCATAAAATTCATATTTTTATCAGAAATGTGATTTTACAAATGCCAGTTTTTAATTACCCATTTTTTACCTATAGATAAATATTTTAATTGTTAAATATTTATGTTAATTTATCTTATCTAGATATTTGTTGGTTATATTTGTACAATAGTTTACAACATTGTAAATGAGAGTGAACTCGGCACAAAAAATAAAAATGTCACCCTGGGCCCATCCATAGACCTATAAACTAATAGGGAGCTCTTAGAGAGAGAAGTCAGGGGTACGATATAGAGTGAGCGAGAAAAGAAACAAAGTAGTAATTTACAGTGTGTCTACTGCTAAATAAAAATTGTGCCAATTGTCATATTTTATTGTTAACATAATAAATGATTTGTGGTTACCAAACTTGTGGGCCTATGGACAATGGTATCAACCATATTACCTATTTATATTATATATGGTTGATAAAGAAAATGGAAAAAAAAGTGAAGTATTTCCTCCATGATTACTGTTTTATGTTCTTTCTTCTTTCCTTCTCAGTTGTATGATTCCCTAGCATTGAGGGTAGGACGGAGTAGAATGCGCTGTCCGTTAGTTTATAGGTCTACGACAATTTAAAAACAAAAACAAATTGGACCCGTACTATAGAATCAATTATGATTATTTTGAATTTCGTCTTTAATCAATCGAGACGTGTCACGGCGTGTTCGCAGGCTACGGGAACGTGACTCCGCGGACGCTGCTCGGCAAACTGGCCACCATATTGTACGCGATCGTGGGCATGCCTTTGTTCCTATTGTACCTGTCCAACATCGGCGACATACTGGCCAAGAGCTTCAAGTGGATATACGCGAAATGTTGCCTGTGCCGGAACTGCAAGAAACGCCGAAAGCGCATGTTGGCCATACAGCGGAAGGAACAGTGGAAGGTACGTAGTGCTGTATAATAATTATTATAACGATGGAGACGGAGCCGGATGCCGTATAATAAAATAATAATACATAATATTATTATTGTTATGTTACGTACAATATGAAATATAACAGAAAATAATAATAAATATTATTAATATAATACACGGGCGGTTGTGGTGGCGGCGGCGGCCAACTGCACTGTCGATAGTAAATCAAAAATGACGTTGATGTATCGCCTTCGAGAGAGCAGCGCTTAATCTTTAAACCGGTAGTGGGCGAGGTGGAGGGACCAGGGTAACCAGGGTGGTTCGGTCTCCTTTCGAGTAATACCTACATCATAATATTATTATACTTGGGTATTATTATTTTTTTTTCTTTGCACTCATTACCAATCTTTATTTAGTTAAACAACATCGAATTTTGTGTCTATGAAAAAAAAAAATGCTTTTTTTTTAAGTATCCACATAATATTAGTAATAATATAATAACTTACCCTTGGCGGTTTTGGGTGGAAAATCCCAAAAATCACATTCGAATATCGTAACCATAATATTTTCTTCGTGTTCGCAAAAAAGGTAGACTACTTTAAATCGCAACATTATATATTATTCGACTCCAGAGAAAACTATAGACTTCAAAATAATTATTCTGAATATTTATTATAATCTACATCGTCTTAAATAATACCTACAAACACACACAAATTAATAAATATATATATATATATATATTAGAGTACAGTTAAGATTTGAAATGATTTTTCTTTCAAAGCTTGGTGATATCATCCGGACTGCCGTTAATTTGTCGTCGTTTTAATAATAATAATAATATTTCGCAGATGGATATGCGAGACTTCAAACTGAACACCGGCGTGCTCACTGAGGGCGAAGAGAGCGACGACGAGGGCACGACCGACGGAAGTTCCTCGTTAAGCTTCAACGACACGCAAGAGGTTACCGTGCCCATCTCTTTGTGTCTAACCATAATGGTCGGGTAAGCGAACGTGGCGATGGTGACGATATAATAATAATAATAATAATATTATATTATTACGAGTTACGACACTCGAGTGTACGGGTTAGAAGGTCGTTATGTATATAGTATAATATACTAAATGGGACATAAAAAAAATTATTTTTCAAAACTTAAAAAAAAAAAAAATTAGAAAACACATATTTAGGTAGGTGACTATTTATTTATTTATTTATTTGTATAATTTAAACGGGCGAACCCAGTTACATTTATTATAGACATACGTCTATTATTATAAAATATGTAATAATAATAATAATAATAATATTTGTTATCACATGAACACTAATCTTAACTCTTAAGTATTATAATATGACAGCTATACAGATAGTGTGCATTTGGTAAATAGGCAGGTTTAAGTAATGTATGTGATGAGACACTTATGGTTGAAAATAATTCACTGAAAACAAAAATGGTTAAGAATACAGAGTAAAGTTGTATAGATTGACATAGATTATAACATTTATACAGCTAAAACATTATTTATGTAAAAATTAAAATCATTTAAGGAAACGCAGGAAAATATACTGTAATACTGTAATATTACATTTTCCGATATAACAATAAATATAATAACTATTAACTAAGAACACGTGGGTAAGGTATTGAAATAATAGATTATCCTTATCGAACCAATTAATCGTTAGAATATAGAACTATTGATTACAATTTACTAAGTGAATATAATTTAGGTCATGTCGTTAAATCTTAAATGTCATCATCTCTACTTTATTAAAGTATAATATATATAACTATTGAATATTTTAATTCGACACGTTTAGTCACGCATAGGTTTGGTAACGACGTATAATTAAGAAATACATAACTGAAAATTGAATATTAATTAAATACAATAATATGCAATCAGGTGTTCTCTAAGATTTTTTTTTATTTCTTATGAAAAAAAAGTCTTGAAAAGCGCACGTCATAATAAAATGGTACGCACAGATGATTTTCTTCAATTTAAATTTTTTTTCAATTCCAAGATTTTCATTCGTTATAAACATAATAACGTACAAGATTTTTCTTTTTTTATTTCTCTTAACTGATATTTTTTATTTTACGTTTTGTATAAAAAAAATTATACTAAGTGCTAAGTATTACGTCCTACACTTCTACTGTATTTACATTTTAACAACCTTTTTAATATAAAACCTAGGTGCAGTTAAATATTGTAATATATGTTAATATCGTTATACATTTATCATTTACGATACTCTGAGAAAAAGGAATCGAAGATTCGTAGAATTTTTCGCAAGTTATTTTTATCCTCTATTAACATTATTTATAAACTCTAAGGTCCCTGATGTACTGGTAATATATAACACTTCGCCATTACCCTCTCTGCTACCAATAATTCTAAAATTGAACCTAGGTATTACCCATATTGACGAGTCTTGCAAATGTCGATCCTTCATTTTTTTTATAAAATATAGTCTTTGTTAGTTCTATTAACAATATTTTAATATTCTCTCTTATTATTATGATATAAACTTAAGTTGTTGTTTTTTATATACTTAAATTTTAATCAGCTAAAATAATATTGCTCTTCGAGGCCCTTGAGAGGATGTCAGCTCACTATTTGTAAAAACACCTCTTTTACAATTTAAAGGAAAGATTAGAGTATCTCATAGACGTTTATATTATATTTTAATTTTAAAGAGTTTATAAAGATGTACAAAAATGTTACAATTTTAAAATACTAATAACTGGCTTTGAATTAAAAATTTAATAACACGGATATGAGATGCCCTAGGTAATCTTACCTTTACATTTTATAAACGGTCATTGCATGCTAATTTTAGAAATTATTACGAGTACAATCATTTTTTGAACGTATAATTTGCTATGTTACGGGTGAGTCAGAGAGAGAGAAAACAATAATAGTGCGCTGACATCTTCTTAAAACCTCAAAAACGGTCGAGTTCGACAAAATGTCATTGTTGTTTCTTTTCGTAACATAATTAAAAGTGAAAAATAAATCTCCACACTTAATCGCTTTTCCATAAGCACCCGGGAAATAATTTAATTTCAACTCTATAGGGGTCCGAATCGATATACTACGACTTAACCGGTGGTCACGCGATAACGGTCCAACGGAATCGATACGGCCGATAGATAACGAATGAACGCTGTCCGTCATTCGCGTATTATTGCGACCCCTCATAGGTAGGTATCGATGCAAATTATTTACGGGGCCGATAATCCCCCCCCCCCCCGCGTGGATGCACTGTACACATTTTCCGGTTATGTCACCATCAACGCTGCTATGGTGTCGCGTTGACATTTTGTACGACATAGGTATAGGTATATCATATCGATATAGTATATATTATATATCGAATATAAACCCACCACCTCGTCCCGAGTGAACACGAGTTTGCCCGAGTACGACGTATACATTACTACTAATATTATACTTACAACTATGATTATTGTCATTTGTCACCGAGTTATCATCGCAAAGTCTTAGATTTTTCCGGTTTCCCCGCTGCGTGTCGTCATAGTCACTCCAAACGGTGTACCGACTTCTCGCACTGCAGATGATCCTCATTCCTCAGACTCAGAATACGCTGTACAGTCGTCGTTATAAAGTATATAATATATTATAAGGGATCTAATAGAGGGGTTACGGAGTCTCTTTTTCAAAAAAAAAAAAAAAATATTATATTTATATTTATTCGTATCCCTTCTAATTAGTATATTGTACTAATCAATAAGATATTTGAATATTATTAAGGAGCGCACATTTTCTTTACACTCTGACATCATTCTTCTATTTTTTCCCAAAGTTAAATTACTGTACCTATATTAATATTGTACTGAAAAACGGTAGAGTTTTTTTTCGGTACAACGTCTCAGGGAACCAATTTCGCACGGTTCACTCGTGCGAGCTGCAACGACTTTTTGTCATATGTTTAAATTAAACATCACTGATAATAGTATATCGTAATATTATATAATAATATTATTCGCCTACCCATACTATACGTCTTATAACCGTGTATACTGTACAACGGTTCGTTTGACATTTCATTCGCGATGTCAGGCTTAAAACGAAAAACAAAAGTTCCGCTTTATTATTTTTGTTGCCACTATTACGATGTCGGTGTGTGTGCGGCGTGTACACAAAATATTCGCTTTACGAAAATGTTTTGTCACCAGACATTCGTCACGGTGTTGGCTGAAACGTAAATAACCACCCCTCAGCCCTTAAAAGATTTGAAAAACACAGTGAACCTATAAATTGTTGTATTGTAATGATAGTAGGTATTACCTATATTAGTATCTGTACGAAATCACAAAGCTTTTCGGTTGAAAAAATGTCTATACTCGTGGATCTACTACGTCGTGTCATCTACACCCCTTTTACATAGATATTTTCAAAACAAATTATGTTAGTAATATTATTGAGCGAGTATTTTCATTTTTAACTTATGTGATTACCAATCACTAATTTTTATGCTTTTGGTTTAATTAGTATCAAAAATGAATTGGGTCTATAAACATATATCGTGTCTTTAACTATATCAAAAAATCTATATTTCCAAATGTTTTCCTCCTCAAATGTCTATCACGTAAGTAACATATTGTATACTATGCAACACTATTATAACAATTTTCATCAAGCCCCAGCAAAAATATTTTTTTGATATTGCTCAAGTCCCCAAAGTCCCGGAGATTGTACCATAGCCGCTTACCAACTATAACACGGGGCATAGCACTTATTATTAATATAATAATGTTATGGATTATAAATATATTCCCATGTTGTAACTAAGCTTGTCACGAATGTCTTGATACTTTGTAAGTAAATAATATAATAGACCAAATACCGAAACAATAATAAATAATAATCCATAGAAAAACCCTATACATAGAAAAAAATAATGATTTTTTTTCGGAAGGTTGTGTGGAGATTGTGTAACTTTTTAAATTGTAATGCGGTGTAATAGATATCATAATTAATTTTCACTCATATAGGAATAACAATTAAAAAAAAAAAAAACATTTCAGCAGTAGCATGTTGAAAAATGTACGCCTGTACGTTCAAGTTTCAAAAGTTCGTTTATTCGAATTTTAATGATTTGAGACAAAAGGCCCACTTTGAAAGTGTATTTCAATCGGGTCCTGGACTTGACCTATGTACATCGATCGATGACCCATAAAGAAAACCGTTAATTACGCGTACCATTATATTATCAAATGTTTGCAATACAATAATATAATGATGTAGAGTACCTACCAAAGTCTGATGCATGGAAATTTGCAAAAGGTACTTCGGTTGTTGAGGAATAACATCGTATAAGTGTGTAACTACTGTATAAATAAATGTTATGCAATTACCAGGTTCACTCGATTCATAACCTCGGTTATACTGTTGGTTATAAGTTTTAGAGACCTTATTTTAATGTACCAAGAACTATATTATAATAATTTCATACGCCACAGCCGAGGAAAAAAAATGTTTCTCCGCGTCTGAGTTATGGCCGTTTTTCACTGTTTTTCTTCCCACTGCGACCAACTCGGCTGTATAAAAAACGATCTCTGTCGCAAATTTATATTAGGTTCTTGCTGATTTGAAGTTTTCTCAATTAAAAAAATATAAAACTCCAAACTTCTCCGACGAGAATTGTTTTATGCCATTTTTTTTCATCTTGCAAAATATGTTCACATTAAATTACATTTATTTTTCTTGGAAACGGTTAGTTGTCAAACATGAATCATCTTGACAAACAGTAAAAACAAAAAAATTAAAAAAATACAATAAATAATAACAACAACAACAACCACAGCAACAACAACAAAAAATAACAACAACAACGACAACGACAACGACAAAATTGTTGTGATTGTACCAAAAACAATGGTAGGGAAACAAACGAAACAAAATATTAAATTTCTACTCTTGAGAAACAGACGTCCTACATGCAGACAACGTAAAACTGAAATAGTCGTTT